TTAAAAAAAAAAAAAAGATTTTTCTCTCATGCAGCACTTTACCAGCATCTACTGATAGAAAATGGGCAGTTTAATTCCGTCATATATATGTATACCGTGAATTGAGATTGATTGGTAACCAGCTGTGACAAAGTGGAAAAGAAGCTCTGTGTTTTTGTGGGTTTGTTTTTCCCAAGAAAAAAAAAAAAGCAAAAGAAAACAAATAGAGAAATGAAGCTAACTCTTGAAAGACTGATGCTTGAATTGGGCCTTCCTTCCATGCTTTAGGGGAGCTAGGAAAGGGCCTCTCCTAGGAGCTTGTTCAGCCTGTTAGCAACAAGGGGTGGCCAGGCTGTGGGCTACAATGAGGTAAGTAGTATGGAGCCTCCAGTCCCCACCAAACGTGGTATTCTAGAGGTCAGACTTGCCTAGACACACCAGAAGATGCTCCAGCTAACAGCCCTGACCCCAGGACTAGCTCAAAGATCTTGGCCCAAGGCAGTGCCTTTATGCCAGGAGAAGATGCAGATTCCTCTAGCATTTTCTAGAGACCAGCACTGTCTCCAAGCCAGGCCAGAGTGATTCCAGGTCAGCAGAATGTGGGAGGGCAGATTCCTGTGGGCCTGATGCTCCTTCCTTCCTGCCCTCCTGTCTACGACCCTCTATCCCCAGCTTAAAAGACCTGAGCATGCTGGGCGCAGTGGCTCACACATGTTATCCCAGCACTCTGGGAGACTGAGGTGGGCGGCTCACCTGAGGTGGGGAGTTTGAGACCAGCCTGACCAACATGGAGAAACCCTGTTTCTACTAAAAATGCAAAATTAGCCGGGCGTGGTGGTGCATGCCTATAATCCCAGCTACTCAGGGGACTGAGGCAGGAGAATTGCTTGAACCTGGGAGGCAGAGGTTGCAGTGAGCCGAGATCAGGCCATTGCACTCCAGCCTGGGCAACAAGAGCAGAACTCCACCTAAAAAAAAAAAAAGAAAGAAAGAAAGAAAAAAGAAAAGAAAAAGACCTGAGCAGACCCCATCCAAATCAAGGAAAGGTCACAGGATCTGGCACGAGTGCCAGGGGTCAAGGGTCTGCTGGGCTAAACAGCGGATATTTCCCCATCTCCCAAAGGAAGCATGGCAGGGCAGAGGTCAGAGGTCCTTCTGGCCTTAATGTTCTCTGTCAAGACCAAGTATTACCTTACCTGAGTTCAGAACAGTGTGGCTGAAGCCACACCATTACCCAGTAGCTTCAGTTTAGGTGTTAAGCAGAAGCTCCTGAGAGTAAGGACGGGTAATTTCCTGGCCCCTGCTGCTAGGCCTAGGGAGTGAAGTGTATGCTGGGGACAGCCTTTCCTGGCACTTAGCGTGGTGCCCATTCAGGTCCTAACTCCAAGTAGTTGTTGGATCTTCAACAACCCCCCACCCTGGGACTCAGCGCTTATTTGCAATATGGGACCAGCCTCTCTGGGTCTTGAAAACTTTGAGCAGAGGAGCCAGTGGTGGCAGAATTGAGCCCAGAAGCACTAGTTGTTCTGTGATCAACTGCTCAATTCTGCCCCTTTGTCCCTTGAAACACAGCTGCTGCATCTCGTCCTAGGACAACCCATCTGCCCCTTCCTGGGCAGTGAGTCATGCTCAGCCTACTCAACTGGCCTGTCCATCCCAGGCCAGGCACTGAAGTTTACCCCCAAACCCTCAGAATCTACAGGACAACCAGGGCTGAGTAGCCTGGCCAAAAACCATTGTTTCCACCCTGATGCCAACACCAAACCTGCCTTGAGACTACCTGGGAAACTAGGCAGTCCCAAGCCCACAAGACAATGCAGGAAGGAGCTGGGGTAGAGCTGCAGGAGAGGCATCCCTAGATCCCTATCTTCACAGGGCCCTGAAAGACCCCTACCAAGAAAGCACAGAGCCTGACCCACTCTGGGGCAGAAAACCTGTAACATCTTTCCCACCATCCTCCTTCCCAGCCAATCTCACTGGGTTCTCTGCTATCCCCCACCGCTTACGGATGAGGAACTGAGAATGAAAGAGACTTGTCTTAGCTGGCTCACAGGCAGAAGAGGCATGAAGTGGGCATTACATGTTGGCAGTTTCTGGAGTGCACACCTACTCCTCCCAGCACAGAAATGGTAAGGCTTACGTGGAGGCCAACGGGCCAACACCAAGTAGACCTGGCTGAGTCTCCTCTTCCCTCTGTCAACATGAGTCCCAACCCCTCATGTCCAGAAACCTCTCCAGGTGCCAGGGAAACAGATGCCCAGAGGCAACGGCGTTGTAATAAAGACACTGCTTTTATTTAGTTTGATATGTTTCTTTACAGAATGCAGAAAACACATCTTAAAATCATATAGAAGGAAATAAAAACACATCAGTGGTTGGTGAACACTTGAATGTGAGATTGGCTCTCCATCTCAGAGTCCAGCGGCCATCACCAGCCCAGCGCTCAGGGGAGGAGGCTGCCTGCAAAGGCATTGTTGCTGTTGTTATTCTGTTCACTGCCCCATCGCCTCCAGTTGCTATGGCAACAGGCCATTCTGGGCCAGCCACGTCTCTGCATGGCAGTGCCCAATGGTGGAGTTGCTAGGGGTGACAGAGCTGTTTGGAAGGCCTTTCAAAGCCCTCACCTGGAACATAGGGAATTGTTTATTTTTTGATGAGGTCATCAGAAATAATCTCATCAGGTCAGATCCCACTTGTGCTCCTGTCTCTGGGGCACCAGGGAAACTCTGGCTTGAAGGTATGAGCTCAGTCACCAGTGGTCCACAAAGCCTGAATTTACAGGATCCCCCACAGCGGCACACTGCTCACTCCAGAGTACCCCGCTGGGGACTGGGGCAAGGGAAAGGGGCTGGGCCCTGTGGGAGAAGGCGCAAGGGGAAATGCCCTCTGGAGAACAGTAGGATGGAGACACCTCCCCTCCTACCAGCCCTCCCCTCCTGAGGCAGCACACACAAATCCTCTGCAAAACAGTCGATATGGCTTAGAATTAGCTGCTCCGTGTGCAAAGGGAGCCTGGGTCCACCTACCCACCCTCAATCAGCGAAGGGATACATTATTGCGAAAGGCATTCCTCCCTAAAAGGTACCCAAAATAACTCAGACATCAAGAAAAGTCATGCTTAAAATGGTTTCTTCCAAAGGAGGAGAATCAAGCAGAGTGGGCGCCCCTGAGTCATGGGACAGAGATGCAGATGGACGGATGGATGTTCTGCTAAAAATGGCAAAAGAAGCCCAGTGTAATTCCAGAACTTGAACCATTAGGAAAAGAAGGGGGAAAAAAAATCAAAATGAGCAAAGCCGTCAGTTCCATGGAATCAACACTAAGAGCTTGTACAAACTGCTGTAAGCATCACCATTTTTAATCTTTTTTTTAATAAAACAATTTGAGGCTGTATAAAAACTTTAGTAAAAAATTAGCTTTGAGAGCCCACATACTTTTACTATGAACTATTGCTGGCACTCCTCCCCAGCCACCAGACCTTCTCCAGTAGTTCAGGCCCAAGGCCGGGACTGGAGTGCCAGAGAAAAGGGGTGGGGGGGTCAGGGTGGGTCGGGGTAGGGCTGTGGACTGTTAGGACAAAGCGGCCAACGTCAAGTGAGGAAAGAGCATCACATGACATAAAAATATTGCATCTTCACCAAAATGTCCCCCACTGAGTGTTTCAAAAACTGTGATATTCCTTTTAGGAAAAAAAAAAAAAACGCACAGAAGAGTAAAAGAAAATAGGTTGATGTGGTCGAGACCTTCGACCTCCCAGGTGCCCCCACAAGCAGCTGGCCCACCCTGGAGCACCAAAGTTGGGGGCCACAGCCACCGCTGCCTCTTGGAGTCCCTTTTTCATGGAAATGAAGACCCCTTGGTGGTGGGCCACTAGTGTATATGGGCTGGAAGTGGGGATGTCTGTGGCCCAAGAGACCCCTCCAGGTTCCAGCCCCTGGCAACAGCGGGAGAGCAAACCCAGCACCAGGGCCCTGGCATGAGCCAGGGCCAGGAGGCCCCCAACCAGGCTCTGGGGTATCAGAGCAACCAAGTTGACATAGTGTGAAAAAATAGGATTCCTTTGATAAAAAATACTGTCCCTTGGTCTTCTCTAAGTTTGAAACACCTGGGAGCTTATTTTTAGCAAAGCAATTCCCCATACCCACCCCAAAATTATACATACAAGTTTAGGTAAACAGCAGATTAAATGTAAAAACTTAACCTTAACTTCTGAAAGTCCTTTGAATTTAATCTTTAGTTACTGTTTTCCATGTTACATCCTGCAGCTAGACACATGTGAATAGAAAAAACAGTACAGTTAGTGTTAAAGGCAAAACGCAGAGAGCCAGGGGCTGCCTGGCACTGCCTGCGAGTTCATTCATGGTTCCTCGCTCCTGCCATCTCCACTCCACATGGTACTTTCAGAGCCAGCCATCAAAAACGAAGCGAAGAATTCTCTATGAACAAACCAAAAGCTGTTAGGCAAAAAATAAAAATAAAAAAGTCCCCAAAGTCTCTCCAGCTGCTTTGGGGTTTGGGAGGACCAGAGAGGGCGGGCTTGTCCAGGCCCCTGTGTCAGTGTGTGCTAGGTCAGGTGTCGGCTCCTGGTGGGCGATGGTCTGCAGGCCACCGGCCTCCACAGACAACATCATGTTGTCTCCAGGCCCCTGCCCTACCCTGTATCCACCCAGGCGCTTGCAGGTTAAGGAGGGACATAGGGAGGGGGTGACCGGTATGGGGTCATGTTCTTGGGACGGGAGCCCTTGCCCTCCATGGGTGCTGTGAAGGGCGGCGGGGGCTGATAGGGAGGCGCATTGGGATCCTCATCCCGCAGGGGCGTGTACTCTCCCACGGTGTCCTGGTTCAGAGGGGTGGTCTCGGGCACACTCTGGTTGGGGTACTCGGGAGGGGGTAGGGGAGCCTTCTCCTCCTGCAGAATGAGTGGCATGCTGGAGGAGGGTGGGGGCTTCGAGTCGTCCAGTTCGTCTGCAAAGATAATAGGCACCCCCTTCTTGATGAAGGTGGCCTGGTCCTCAAGGGTAAGCTTGCCCTTCCGCTTCTTGCGGTAGCAGATCATGGCAATGATGCCAGCAATGAGCAGGATGGCTGCGACCACCACAGCCGGAATGACTGTGTGCAGGTAGACGTCATCCTCACTGCTCTTCTCAGGGTCCCTGTCAGGCACCTCTGTGGGCGGCACCTCTGAGGGCACTCTCCTAGGTGGTGCCACAGGGATAAACTGTAGGTGCCGACAACTGCCAGCGCCCGTCACAGCAATGCTTGTGGCCTTAAAGTCAGGCTCTAGGGCGTTGGAGAAGGCAGGCCGAGGTCTTCCATCGTCCTCAGCAATCCGACGGCTCAGCCCAACGATCTGCTCCTTGGGGCAGGGCTCCACAGGCAGTGTGTTGTTGGTCCATTCCACCACGATGGAGCCCCGGGTGATATTCTGCAGGGTGAGTGTGCTACAGTTTCGGTCCCCAAAGGCGAAGGCCAGTTTCTTTACCAAGGCAATCTTTTTGTGGATGTCATTCAACACCGGTGCTGGGTCACCCACAAACTTGGCCTTGAACCTTGCAGGAGCCCTATCCCCTTGGGGGCGCCTATGGACGTGGATCTCAAAGGCATCCACAGCTGACAGGCCCCCCTTGTCTGTGGCATGCATGAAATACTCGTGTTTGCCCACATGGCTGCTGTCAGGCAGGCCATACATGAGCTGGCTGTTGCTGTTGAACTGTACCCAGGACTTCTCACCCACCAGCTGCTGCTCCCGCAGCTTCAGGGTCAGCTTCAGCTTGTCAGTGGTGGTATCCTCATGGTCATAGAAAGTGTCTGATGGGATCTTCACCTCAAAGTAGGTGCCAACCCAGGCATCTACCCTGTCAATATGGTTCTTGAGCTCTGGGCGCTGGTTGGGTTCTCCACCACGGGGCACTCCGCCGGTGGTGGTGCGAATACGAGTAGGTGGTGAGGCAGTCTCCAATCTGGTGATGGGAGCTTTGGTGGTAACCCGGGGCACGGGCCGGGGTGTCCGTGGTTTCTTGGTCGGCCTGCGAGTCGTGGTGGTAGAGGAGTCAGTTGAAGGCGTTGCTGATTTTGGTGTGGATACTCGTGGCTTCTTAGTGGTGGTTGTGGGAGGGGTAGCAACTGCAGTAGGCTCCACATAGCCAGGAATGGTCATCGTTGGGCGAATCTGGCCAGGAACTGTGGTGCCAGCTTCTGACACCCGAGTAGGCTGGATGGGGCCTAGGGTTGGGGTCTGAATAATGGCACCTCGAGTCCGGATGGTGACTGTGGGTTTCCCAGGAACAGGATCCCTGACTGGAGGAGCCATGGTCTCTGTCGGAGGAGCAATGGCTGGAGATGTGGGGGTTGGCACGATCCTGGATGGGGGCTCCTGGATGGCCGTGGTTGGGGGCCCAATGGCAGTGACAGGTGTGGGTGTGGCATGGATCTGCCTCCGGATGCGTTTGGGAAGAGGCGGCTTCTTATTGGCAATGTGCCAACCCACGACAGGGTAGCCCAGCTGAGCAGACATAGCACCCTCTCTGGCAGGGGCCTCCACACCACGAATGTCAGGCACACTGTTCTGGTTCAGGGAGCAGCCCAGCTTCCAGGAGAGAAGGGCCCCATTCTCCACCACTTTTTTTGCATTTCCTGGGCCAGCCATGAAGGCCGACATGTCAAATAGTCTGTTATTCACCACTGGCACTAACTTCATGTTGTGAAGCTCTACTTCTGAGAAACTCCGCATCCTGTGCAGGAGGTCAATCCTTTGCTTTGGGGTCATCTTGGTGAGGTCAGCATCCAAAATCACTGTCAGAACAGTCACAGGCTCATCTGCAGCACAGGCAGATGACACCACCTCACCAGGGTCTGGGGAGGCTGTCCTCACGGACTGCAGCTCACTGTGATCTTCAGGGTAGACCTCGATGGAGAACACACTGGAGGTCTGGGGGATGTGGCTCCCATTGGCTCCCAGCAGTGCAGCACTCACTGAAATGTAATGCACGCCCTTATCAGTGTCAAGGGGGAGGCCCTCCAAGCTATGGCTCTTCAGGTCCCAGTGCAGCCAAGATGGCAAAGCCTCCTTCCCTGCCGCTGATACCTAGAAGAGACACAAGCATAAAGTACTAGTGTCAGTGCATAACCTGAATATGATTACAACAGTTAACCTGAATTGTGTGATAGGCTTAAGGTGTAATTTAGAGTTCCTGCTGGGGAAGCCAATTCCTTGCCTCTAGAGGGACAAAACTGAACTTATTTACCTGTCACAAAAGACTAGGGCTATGAGATGGCTTAGCTTGGGAGGCAAATACCTCACCCAAGGCCACACAGTGGGGAGACAGCAGTGCTGGCACTCAAGTACATGTCTCATTCTTGAGAACTGATGCCATGGAGCTCATGACTGTTGTGGATTTTATAACAGTCACACACCCTGCCACCTACTTGCCCATTCTACCTGCAGAATCAAGTCATAGTGTCTCATCCCAGCCCTCAGCACTCCTTTCCAGCCTTGCCTCAGACTTCTCCCCTGACCCTCTACAGACATCACATCTTTGCTCACACTACTTGCCTGGCCTGGAGGACCATTCCTGCCCCAAAATGGAGATGCACACAGGTCTGGGTACTAGGGAGAGCTAACGCCCTGAAGGACTCACGTTTGACGTCATCTCAGTGAGGTCGGCATCCAAAATCACCATCAGAACAGTTACAGAACATCATCACGTTACATTCAAGTGTAGTGGGGGCACATTTGTGTAGCAAACAGAGTTAGTTGTATCTAATGTTTTCATTTACCCTGCTTCTCAAATCTCAAGACAAACTGTGGTGCCCAGAGAGCAGGGAATAGAATCAACTATTCTAGAATAGTGCTTACCAAAGGAATCCCAAGGAGCTCTGGTCTCTCTAAGAGAGAGGTTCTACAGTCAATCAAGTACAGGAAATATACGGAGCCCTCTTCTGCCCTTGGAGAGACCAGGCACAGAAGCAGGCCTAAGGAGCTCATCACCTTATTCCAACTCAGCAGCATCTCCCAGACTTCTTTCGGTGTGTAAGTCCCTTTCACACATGTATCACATGTAACTGGTGATACTCAGAGCACCAAAGGAAATGCCACTATAGAAACCTCCACCATCAGCTGACAAGAGGAAAGTATGACTTGGCTCTTGCCCTGGCCCCATCTGTGGCTCCTCTCACTTTTAGGAAACACCTACTCCTGCCCCAGTGCAAGAAACGTGACACCCACTCTCTGGTTGGCCTGAAGGCACTCTCATCTCCATCGTCCTGTACCAAGTCCAGAAATACATTGGTCAGCAGATAGTACATCTCACTGCCAGCCTCAGCCCAGGGACTGCCCTTCATGGCCACTGCTTATCAACAGGGAGACCCTAAAATGCTTTCCTCCCTGTGGCAGGAAAGCTAAAGCCATGACTGCTGGGCTCCCCAGTGGCTCTGGTTTCCTGGGCTTCCTCCTGCCAAAAGACAAGTTACTTGAGTGATTTGGAAAGGAGACCCCAGGCTTGTACCCAGGTGTCCAGGCAGCAGCCTTATCAGAAACTAGATAATTCCCCCCATTTTAAACGAATTTAAACAGGTTTCCTACACCCAGCAAAAACATATGAGAAGGCTGGGCATGGTAGCTCATACCTATAATGCCAAACTTTGGGAGGCCAAGGCGGGAGGATTGCTTGAGGCCAGGAGGCATTAGAGACCACCCTGGCTAACATAGTGAGACCCCATCTCTATTTATATCAAAAAAATTTTTTTTGAAACTATGTCATGACTGACATTGTTAGGGGTTATTATTATTGGGCCAGGCATAGTGGCTCACCCCCGTAATCCCAGCACTTTGGGAGGCCAAAGTGGGTGGATCACCTGAGGTCAAGAGTTCAAGACAAGCCTAGCCAACGTGGTGAAACCCCATCTCTACTAAAATAAAAAAATTAGTCAGGCGTGGTGGTGCGCACCTGTAGTCCCAGCTACTCAGGAGGATAAGGCAGAAGAAATCCTTGAACCCAGGAGGCAGAGGTTGCAGTGAGCCAAGATCGCACCACTGCACTCCAGCCTGGGCAACAGAGTAAGATTCCGTCTCAAAAAAAAAAAGGAGTTATTATTATTGAGGTTATCATTTCCTAATTGCTTTGTAAGCCACTCATTAAGGGTCAGCAAATAGTGTTTTGTTTTTGTTTTTGTTTTGAGGCATAGTCTTGCTCTGTTGCCCAGGCTGGAATGCGGTGCCACAATCTTATCTCACTGAAACCTCCACCTCCCAGGTACAAGCAATTCTCCTGCCTCAGCCTCCTGAGTAGCTGGGACTACAGAGCACAATGCCATGCCCGGCTAATTTTTTGTATTTTAGAAGAGGGGGTTTCACCGTGTTGCCCAGGCTGGTCGTGAACTCCTGAGCTCAGGCAATCTGCCCGCCTCAGCCTCCCAAAGTCCTAGGATTACAGGCATGAGCCACTGTGCCCAGCCCACAAATAGTGTTTATTTTGTGATACTACATTCCATCAACTCTAAGATGTGCCATCATCTAATTAAAAATCTCCCACCCTGTCACCCACCATCAAACATCAGAAAGGTTAAAATATCTGTAAACACGGGTGTCTTCAAATTCATGAAAAATACTAAATATATTTTTTCTTTTAAAATCTTTTTTAGCTATAAAAAAATCACATGTATTGGCTGGAGCATGGTAGCTCACAACTATAATCCCTGCACTTTGGGAGGCTGAGGAAGGTAGATCACTTGAAGTCAGGAGTTTGAGACCAACCTGGCCAACATGACAAAATCCTGTCTCTACTAAAAATACAAAAATTATCCGGGCATAATAGTGTACACCTGTAGTCCCAGCTAGTCAGGAAGCTGATGCACAAGAATCACTTGAACCCGGGAAGCAGAGGCTGCAGTGAGCCAAGACCACACCAACTGCACTACAGCTTGGATGACAGAGCAAGACTCTGTCTCAAAAGAACGAACATTAAAAAAAAAAACCATTTATTTCAAACATTTTGGCTGAAAAACCTAAGCTTTACAGTATTCAGTTCATTTATGTTAAATAAGAAAACTGGCACATCCATATGTAAACACGTTTACGCTCTTATTTTGCCAAAAACAACAACAACAACCGTGAAGCAAATAAGTAAGGCCCAAATCCAAACGGAGTGTTCATGGAACCATCAGATATCTTACAGGAGTAGGTTAGGAATAGGAGTCCTGAGAGGTGGAGAGTAGGTGAATTAGGGTGTAGACCCCAGTTTTTGGTCACCTGAGGGTTATTTTTTAACTCCACTCCATCCCAATGGCCACCAGCTGGACAGGAGCTCATATGCAGAGGGAAGATGAGGAAAGGTGACAGGGAAGGCCTGGAACAGAGGTCTGGGTAAAGCCAACCAAAGAGAAGTCACCTGCAGAGGAGACTGAAAAAACTTGGGGGAGACCAGAAGAAGCTCTAGAAGTGGGCGCCAAATGGCTGGCCAGACCCATGGGACATTCCTGAGTGACTAGGCACTCCATCAGTGTTGATAAGTGAGTAGCCTGGTGCTTCTGCAAATCTGTCTTCAAGTACACAAGGGCATTTTTTAACAGAGAAAACTGAGAAAAGCCCTGCCAACTCAAGGCTTCTCAGCCTGGCTCTCTTCCTATTCTGCTGACCTGAACAGCCAAAAGTTCTCCTAACAGGCAGTACCTACAGAACAAACTCGGCCATTCTATGAGCAAGGCTCCCAAATTGAAGGCCTTCTTGGAAGCCATATACTTACTTTATGCCATGTAGCTTTAACACATGTTAATATCACATAACAAACAATAAACACTAAAGAAAACCTCAGGTTTCACCAAAGCAAGTTATAATGCTCAATTTCAAACTGGGAGATAGGAGATGAAAACTGGTAGCTTTATTTTGACTAATGAGAACAAATTCTTTCCCTCCTTTTTTTTTTTTTTTTTTT